AGTATTTCAATACTTGAATACGTGTTCAACAGCATGTTATCAAGTTGTATGTCATATGCTATCTTAGAATAACCGAGCCTATTTCCAGTTGCATTTTGCATGTGTTGCATTAGCCATCTTAACGTGAACTAGGATCATGCATGATTTCTAACTAGTTGTTGTTTTGGCTCGGAGTACACTGTAAGTGTTTATGCTTTAGCATCCTTGCATGTGTGTAAGTGATTACAATGATAGCATGGTTGCTATGAGGCTAACTGCTTAAGTGATTAACTGCATGAATGCCGGTGGATGAAGGTTGGATTGCTTGAATTGGAACAATTCATCAAAATGTGAGTTTTAAGCCCACTTTGCGAAGTGGCAAAATCATGTTTTCTAAGCCCACTTGAGGGTGGCAAACCCACGTCTTAGCCTACTTGCAAGTAGCACCTTCAAACCATTTTCAAACAAACAAACATGAGATGTTTTGTTCAAATTTAGGCGATCTAGTCTATACTTGTATCTTGTGTGCATCACGTAGTAAGGTTAGCTAATAAACCGGAATAAGAACACATGTGTGTAGACGTGCCCGAACGTCCCGGGCACCGTGCGCGAAATCGGCGCAAAATAAGGTTTGTTCATTAGTATATGACAGTTCAGACTCAAATGTCACGGTTCTGAATCTAATCTCACCAACTGCAATGTAAGATCGATAAATCACTAAAGAGTCCAAATCTGGCAAATCGTTTTGGAAAACTGATTTTAATAAAGAAGTGCCAAACATGGACTGCTTTGCCAGAATGCTATTTTCAGACGTGATGGACAGCTTGGTCTGCAGGCCCTTGTAGAGATCAGAGAGTTATTGTACGAGGGGATCCAGCATGCCCATCGGGTAGATCGTCTGCATTTTGGGGACTACGGTGTACACACTGCAGCAGCTGCTCCAGACACATCAGTCCCGTCCACGTCAGTGCCTTCCAGTTCAGCGCCAGCCACAGCAGGTCCTTCGACTTCAGTCACCCCACCACATGATACCCCATACATTTCTCCATATTCCCCACACGTACATCTTACCCAGCATGCTGACCCTGACCCTGATTGGTCACCGCCCCGCTTCATGCATGATGTTATTACTCCACCCACCCAGTTACAGCCTTGTTAGAATTTCCCATCTTTACCTTCACCTACTCCACTACACACTCCACTTCACCTACCTCCACTTCACCACACACTCCACTTCACCTAACCCACTATCACCTCCACTACACCTACTACCACATTTTCTTCTATATATAGATTGTATAGGAATTGTAATTTATCAATCTTGTAATACATCAAAGCATCAATCAATAATACATCATTTTTAACATATGCATGATCCACGAATAGGTCATTTGGATGCAGTTAATCGAATCTTGAGGTATCTGAAATCAACTCCAGGAAAAGGAATCTTGTTCTCTAATCATAGTCACTTGAGGCTGGAGGCCTTCCCTAATGCAGATTGGGCTGGTGCAATTGATGACAGGAGGTCTACTTCAAGTTATTGTACCTTTATAGGCGGAAATCTAGTGACTTGGAGCAGCAAGAAGCAGCAAGCAGTTGTAGCCAGATCGAGTGCGAAAGCAGAATATCGAGACATGGCTAATGGCATTTGTGAACTTATATGGCTTCAAGTTTTATTGGTGGACTTGGGATTGTTAAGTAGTGGGCCAATGAGATTGTATTGTGACAATAAGGCTGCTATTAACATTGCTCATAATCCAATTCAGCATGATAGAACAAAGCACATTGAGATTGACAGACATTTTATCAAGGAGAAAATCAGCAATGGAGTGATTTGTATGCGTTTTGTGCAATCAGCAGAACAGTTGGCTAATATATTTACTAAAGGGTTAGGTAGTAAGGTTTTTCATCCCATTGTGTGCAAGTTGGGCATGAGAGATATCTATCATGCCCAACTTGAAGGGGAGTGTTAAGATTAGATGAAAGGTAGTTGTGTAATTGTCTACTTATCACTTATTGATATAAATATACCTAGTTAGAGAGAACAAACTAATTTGATTAGGTTTTGTGCCTCCTAACATCGTTCTTCTCTCATCTTCTCTGTTCCATCTTCTTTTCTCTTCCTCCTTAAATTTCTTCTTTTATTTTTAACTCATACATATGAGATATAATAATCATACGAAATTATAAATTTTGCACGTGTTATGTCCCTACATTTTTAAAAAATTTCCGTATTTGCGTGCCAATGTTGTGTCCCATGTCCATGTCCGTGCTCGTGCTTTTTAGCTCTTGATATGGTAATTTGTGAGTTTCTAATTAATTCATTATATGCCTTATTTTAACTGCCAAGCATTGTCGATACCTCTAGATCGATGACTAGCTATGAAGCACCGACACGTTCCCAGGGCTGACGTACGAGTGTCGGACACGTGTCATACACGGACACGTTGTGGACATGTGTCCGACACTCTACTTCTAACATGTCCTTTTTTTTTGAATTTTTTTAGTTGGACACGTGATGACACTTTCTGGACACGGATCGAAGAACCCTAAGCTGTTAGAGAGAAAAGAGAGAGAGATCAAGGGAGAGATTGATTGAACGAAGCAGCCCTAAACTTGGTCAAAAGAGATCAATCGAAGAAGCCCTAACCTGAAGTAATCTTCTTCGTCTTCTCTGCTCTGCTTCCTTCTCTTCGTCTTCTCTATCCTTCATCTTCTCTGGTTCTTCTCCTCCCTTTTCAGTTCGATCTCTCCCCTCTCTTTACTGTTTCGTCTCTCTCCCCTCCCTCTTCTGTTCTCCCTTTTCTGATTTCACTCTCCTTTTTTCACTTCTCTCTCTTTTCTTATTCTGTTCTCTCTTTTCTGTTTTCACTCCCCTCTTCACTTCTCTCTTTTTTTCAACCCCCGTTTCTCCCTTCCTTTTATTTCTTGATTTCATCTCTCTCTCCTCTCCCTTTTTTTATCTTTGTTTTTTATTAAACCTAAAATTTATAGAATAAATTATTTTTATTTAAAAAAAAAAAAAATTATTCAAAAAATTTAAGAAACATGTTTATTAATTTTTTTATTATTATTATAATTGTATAAATAAATAAAATTATATATATTAAATGTGTCCCCAACGTGTCGTATCTCTCATTTTTTGAAAATTTGCATATCCGCGTGTCATTGTCCGTGTCCGTGCATCATAGATGACTAACATGTCTTTTGTCCCATACGTGGTTAGTTGGATACTTCATGTATATCTTCTTAAGTTTGGGGATTGTTTGTCCATAGTTGGAGCCATAAAACGGAGTGACCACGCATAGCTCTAAGTGTTGTCTCAGACATGATGGCATATGATATATATATTTAATTTAATTTAACTTTTTTTCCAGTTATTTGTTCTGTAACGTTCTAGAAAACCTTATAGTATGCACTATGACTAAGTCAAGTATATCTCCGGGCAGTTAAGATCACTATCTCATCTTTTAATCATGACAAGGCCAGTTAAATGACAAACTTCTTTATTTTGGGCAAAAACCACGCAGATAGCATTCAGTGCAGTGAATAAACTAAAGTTCATCTTCCTTGATCCTACAGCTAGAGATGACAAGGAACCTGAGAAGCGGCAGCCTAACATTTTCCATGCCATAATTTGGTCGAGGAATAGCATGGAGACATTGGCTATTTTGATATTATGTTCTGTTGATCTATTTATTTGTTTATTTTTGGTATGATATTCTTAACTACTACAAAGGAGATCCACTATGCAGTTTCTGAGATGTTCGCTAAGGAATGTTTTTAGGGTCCCATAATTGTATGAAAACAACATTTCTTTGTTTCTTCAGTAAAGAGAAATCTAGGGGTTATTTCCAGAGTAGTTTCAAGGGAAAGTTTGATGTGCTAAGTTAGTATCGCTTATTCAGAAATGTCCATGGGTTCTTGTAGAATCTAGGGGTTATTTCCTGTCCGGACTTAGAGCATCCACACCAGCCTCGTCAAACTCATTTCTAGACCAAAATATAGAGCAAAAGCAGGAAAATCAACTTTCAGGAGCCTCCATCAGCCTCGCTACATATTTGCAAAATTTGTGATTGCTACAGTACATCGCTTGACTTAGCGATGTACTATTCACAAGTTATACACTATTTTATTACTTTTCCACCAAGTAGTCGACCACAAATGTTTGTTTGTTTGTAAGTTTTTTTTTTTTTTTTTTTTTTTTTTTTTTTTTTTTTTTTTTTTTTTTTGAGAAATATGAAACTGATACATATACAATACAAATCCTATCACTCTAGATTAAATACTTTTTTTTTCTTTTTCTTTTGAGGAATGTTACGATGAGATAAGCCAGACAACTGCTGCTTGGCACAATTATTATTATTATTATTGTTTTTAAAGGAATATGACACTGCATATATGTAGATAAACAATAAAAAATTAGCAACTTCTCCTACTGCTTTTTAACAATACAAAATGAATATTTTATAAAATTTAATTTTAAAATAGAGAGTCTGATGTAGGTGTACATACAAAAAAAAAATGTTAGATAAAATAGAAAAATTAGCTTTTTGGGGTTAATTTAACTCAAAATTCGTTGAGCCTGATACTGATACCCTTATCATTCTCCTTAAAACTAATATTAGCAGGCGATGGTAGCACTCCTTCCCTAAGTTATGATTTTATACAGTTAGTTCTCCATTATGTCTGTTGACAGACAATTTTGCTGACACATTTTGGCATGTGATAAGGTCTTTTAGTGGAAGAAGTTGCTCGACTCTCATGTAGGTATTAAAGGCCAAAATGGTTATTTGATGATGGTAGAGGTTGTACAAATAAATTCCAAAATGAAACCAACATGCAAAAAAGACATGAAAATACATTAACATAACTAATAGAAGTAATCTGCCGATAGGCTGAACAGACACCTAAAGGGAATTCGCGCATATGTTTTTACCACTTTGCCAAATAAGAGTAAATCACTGAGGTAGTACTCTTGAAACCATTTATTTACCAAAATCATGTGCTGAGTATCTTACCTAGCTCTTCTTCATCACCACTTTGAGTTGTGAAAAATGGGGTGAGGTAATTCCTATCTAATGCTGTGAATGATGCTGTGCTGCATGAAGAATAAAAATCCAGATGTATTAAGAAATTACTGGAGCTAGATCTGAAGAAAAAAGGTCCCCAGATGGAATACACTTCGCTGTACCTTTTGTGAAACTCTTTAAGTTTCATCTTGAACCTGTTCCCAGATGATGTATCCCCATCATAAGAAGGGGCTATATACCCATTGTTCCCTTCAAAGCTCTGAAAGTAATTTGAAAGAGAAAAGGAGTAAGACATGGATTTGTACAAGATCACAAACCATCATTCTAATTACGTTGGTGCGCTATCTCAACTATCTGATACCATGAATCTGTTATGCACACTTCAGATAAACTTTGTAAATTTAAAGTACAAAAGTATGCCTGTGTCCAAATGGAATCAATTCTTCAAACTTTGTAAATTAAAACTACAAAAGTATCCGTGTCCAAATGGAATCAATTCTTCCTGACACGATATGCATCTTTTCCTTTGTCCCTCTTTGTTTTTTTTTTTCCCCCCCTAGTGTTTTTTCCCCCCTTTTGTGTGTTTTGTTTTCTTTTTCTTTTTCTTCCCCATAGACAGAACAAAAACTTAAATCCAAGATCTAGTTCAACTATCATACCTATAATCCAAACTAGAGATTTAAACAAGATCAAAAACATAAAATATGAGAAAATTTCACTCTGGCTCCACTTCCAATCATAACGGTCAACTGTTTACACTTTAGGTCAAGCTGCAAGGTTACCCTTCCATCCATTTAGTGTTAATGAGACTGATGGAAAATAGCATGCGTGTCGGACGTGACAGTTTTTTGATGGTACAATTAAAAGTGCAGGGACCAAAATAGGATTTTGCTGAAAGTGTAAGAGTCCTAATAAGGGAAGAGAATTGCTATGTGTTCACATGTCAATTTCTATTCGCATTATAACTCTAAGGGGTTGGCCTAGTGGGTGCAGCCTGGGCCTCTGGGTGTGCTCCCTCCAGGTCTCAAGTTCAACTTCCACTAGGTGCTATCAACTCCTTCAGGCCACACCCGCGGGCTTTGCCTGAGATTTGCCCGATACATGTGGAGGGGGCGCTTTGCATGGGTCCCGGGATTAGTCAAGGTGTGCGTAAGTTGGCCCGGACACCCGGTCATAAAAAAAAATTCTATTCGCGTTATTAACCCCTGATAGATGGAAGGGTGATATTGCAACTCAACTGACCAACATGGGGTTTTGGTGAAACTGCAAGGATGCCAAGTGTAATTGACCCTTAGTAGTAGGAAACTCCTATGGAGATTTTGCTAAATGATGCCTGTCAAAACTTACTTCAGCCAAGGGACCATCATGGTTGTCGCCAACAACTTGTAGAGCTTCCAGCATGGTACCTGTTGATCCTCCAATCAGCAAGACCTGCACAACATTTCCTTAGAAGGTTAGTGGTAAATCACATGAACAAAAAGGACCATACTAAAAATAGTTACAAGCCCCTATTGAAAGTATCAAATAAAGGAGAATTGCAGTTATTGATAGACCATAAAATAGACCAAGTTGGTAAATCTTGTTGCCCATGTCATGTATAGAGATTGTGCGTAGGATTAGAAGGTAAAACAAAGAATTCAAGCTTACACATGTCCACAAACATGATGCATAATGCACTTCCACAATCCATCTAATGCTCTCTAAAGCCCCATTGTAGAGGCAAGTGACGATCTTGCTTCAAGAAAGCGTCAAACTTTGCAGACCAAACTTCAAAGGACATCCCCATTTCAGAATGAGCGTCATGAACATGTGAACATAAAATTGAAGTAGACTTTGTTCACATGCTTCACTAAGACCTTGTAACTAGAGTGTATTTAAAAGAGTGTGTGATCACTAATTCCTTAATTAAGTCTCTTAATTAATTTGGTTTAATATAATCTAATATCCTAAGATCTTTGTGAAATTTCGATTATTTAATTCAAACTAAACTTAATTAATTAAGTTAAACTGGATCACCCAAGTTTAATGATGTATAAGTTTTAGTGTGGTAGTTATGTTTTAGCACCATAAGTAGCTAATTGTGTTTTTTGGCCTATAAATAGGTAGTTAGGTCCCTTAATATTCAGTTTTATGATATTTTGAAGATTTTATTTTGAGCTTAGTGCTCTTTGTCCCCAATTTGGGCAATTTCTCTCCCCAACAAGATCTCAATCCTAAATTTGGTTCATCCTTTTGGTATAAAATTGATATGTGAATTCAATAACTAAGAAGTATTTACCTTTGATTCGTGCTATTCAAAAAATTTGTGTATGCAATTTGGGTAGCCCCAACTGAAAACATCTGGAAAACAGTCCAACCGACTTCAATTTGATTGCAAGGAGCAGTGGCAACATTCTTATACTGGAAATAGCATCGCAAGGCTAAAAATTGGTGAATGTTGGACATTCTAAAATCCTAGGTCACTTCGACTCTTGATTGCGACTGTGTCTGAAGACTTACAAACCCTAGGTTGTGAGGCTCGACTCTGATTTCAAGCATACAAGACCAAATTGAACCTCTAGAATCAATTCGCAAGTGCAAATCGAGCCTATAGTTGCAATTTCAACTCTGGAATCCTTGGACAAGCATGGATCAAACCTGTAGTGGTGATTATGAATCTGGATCTTCAAGTTCAAGTTGAGATCCAAACTCCATAGTTGAGATAAGAACTTGATCTGGAAACTTAGACAAAAACAAAAAACATAATTGTGATCCGAAACCTTGGAGTAAAGTCGTGAATCTGGTTTTCCACTCAACTTTGTGTTTTGGACACACTCGAAGTGTGATCGACCTTCACACAAATACGATCAGACTCGATTGAAGGTGTTGTGATTTGATGTTTACTCGATTCTATGTTTATGATTTTGAGTTCTAGATTTCAAACTTTGATTTCGATTGCAATTCAAGTGTATATCTGGTTCGGAAAGTTGATTACACCATTAGATTGAGCTTTGAAGTGTTTTGCGAATTTGGAAAGACAATTGTAACACCCCAAATAATGCCATGTGCCAAGACTCCATCCAGATTGAGCTTCAAAGTGTTTCGCGAATTTGGAAAGACAATTGTAACACCCCAAATAATGCCATGAGCCATGACTCCATCCATATCCATCTTTGAAAGCTATGAGCCCAATTGGCTATCTCACTACACAAAATACTTGAGATAAAGCTTAGAAATGAATAGTTAGGAAGCTTTGAACACGTGAATTTCCTTGTCAACTATTAAGAGTTAGGAAGTAGTCACCTCTTGAACTTAGAAAGCAAGTATGTACCACACCGGAAGCATTTCTATGTGACGCGATTGAATACTTGCATTTTTGTGTGACGTGATCAAATGCTTACCCTAATTTTAATTTCCATACAATCCACTACAGATAAAATTATAGATTGCTAAGGCGAAAACTTAGAAGATGAATGCAATTGGTAGGAAATTTAGAAGGAATACATGTGTTAAAACTAGAAGACTTAAAGGCTAGAGCATACTTGAAGATTTGAATGCCCAGACATCTTGAAAACCGTAATTGAGGAGCTTGATAACTTAGGTTTAAAGAGCAGAGTTTCTTGGACAATTTGTCACAACTTAATCGGGATTAGCTGTAATTAAGCGTGATTAATTAGACCTAATCGAGAGTAATTAAACTAATGATGGTTAGAGACTAAACTTAATTAATTAAGAGTAATCATTATTAATTAGACTAATGAAGGTAATTAGGGAAGCTAATTGGTGAAGCACATACCTCAATTTGATGACAATTCACCTACGAGAGAGACAAGTGTCTCCATGCCAAATAAATATATAGGAAAATAGAGATAAAGATGAAAAAAAAATCTTGCTGGAAAATCTTAGAAAATTAGTGGAAGAGAGAGGCGAGATAGAGAAGAACAACAACAACCACCAAAAGGAAGCTTCAATCTGAGCCCAAAAATTAAGCAAAAATTATCACAAGGTAAGATATTTCACCCTCCTTCACATGATATATATATATATATATGTATTAACCAACAAGAAAATGATTTAAGTTAGTATTCTTGAAAGCGTGAAAGGAAGAAATGGAAAGGAGATGAATAGAAGTCAGGGAAAAGAAGAATTGGGTGAAATCCACCCTTTTGCATGACTTAATCCTAATTTTTGGTGTAGAATTCTTGAACCATGTATTCCATATCATTCTTACACCCATTGTATTGAAAAATATCATGTTTTGATGTATTGAGTTGAAAAAAGTAAGAAGGAATGAAAGAAGATAGAAAAACACTAGGTTAAGAAAGAAATTAGCTTTAATTGATTAAGAATGAAATGAACAACCTTCACTAATTTAATCATATCTCCATCTACATTTGGAATTTGGACATGAGACCACAACCATTAGAAACTAGACTTCCAAGGCTTCAATTTAGACTCGAGATTAGCCTAAAAACGACTTCGGATGAAGGAGATATTCCCATTTGAAGTTGGACCAAAAAACCAGTCGGGAGGACTGCTTGAATGTACACGTGCGGCCAATAGTGCCCTTGATATGTTGTGATTTTCCATAGAGAACCTTTCTTGTTATAATGATAAGAATCTATCGTTTTTTATTTTCTTATTTTTATTTTTCCCCCATAAAACAAAAGAAATCTTCATTATAACCTTAGTATCCATAGAATCCGTCTAGTATTGCCACGACTTCCCACCACAGGAATGATAGGATCTTTCCATACATCACTCCATTCTCTGTTTTCTGGAACATTTGATTCTATATGTTTCAAGCAATCATGTATATAAAATATACATATATATAGGTACATAATTTTTTATATTTTATATATATATATATTTTTAAGATGAGTATATATATAGGTACAAGTTACATGTTACTTATGTATATGCATTACAATGTATAGATTGCCATGAAGGTTGCCATTCCTCAATGCAGTTTATAAGATAATGCTAAAAGATCATCTCAATATTCATTTAAGTTTAAATATCTCAAGGCCACAATCGCTATATTGGATATCACATACAAATCTGATCTTGTATTTTCTTGTATTAGTGTGACAATGTTTGACAACATGCAACTCTACTTGCGGTCCAAGAAGCAAAGATATTTCTACGAAGGTAACATGTCTTATCTGACATCGTCTTGAACATCAACACGATACAACACTCGCTAGACAGTTCCCAACACATGAAACATATTACAAGTTTGAATAAAATAACATTTTTCTCTAACACCCTATATTGTAAGACTTCTAAATCTATAAAAACCATATGAAGATACCTCCTCTTCTCTCTGTACTTATGTATTAATATTCTTAGTAAACATATTCCTTTCATAGTTGATCTAGAGGGATCTAGAGGGCTAAATACAAACTAATTCTCTCTCTCTCTCTATACCTCTATAGTTGGTGCCATTTTGGTTATCTCCTTTATTTTGATGTTAGGTTATACAATTGGCCCTAAAACAGTTCACTTTTTAATTTTCATTTTATTTATTTGCACATATCACTGAAATGCCTAATCAGGAAGTAACTTACCTACTATAAGAAAAGCCAAACCAATAAGGATAGATAACCAACACATTCCAAAAAGGCACAAGAATGGGTACATCATGTATCTACATTACAATTTACAGCATGCTTTTGTCTCACAGAATAGCCATCATGCAGTCAGCAAAGTCCTTGTTACATTTTCCAACACAGATCTTTGCTTTCTTACAGTATGAGCAGACTTCACAAAATGACTAGGAATAGAATACGAAGGAACACAGACAATCTCAAAGATAATGCATGAGAAAATGAAGATAATCATGTGTACAGAAGTGGCAAAAATCATGAAAAAGGATTTGAACCGAGGTAACTGAATACTGCATTTACCTGGGAAGTAAGCCTAACTCAAGAGAATGCAATTTTGGATATCATTGCTGATTTCAGATGCAACTAATGGCAAGATAAAAAAAAAAAGAAGCACGCATCATGCATGTTTTGAAGGGTAAGGCACATTCTATGCTTTTTCACAACCAAAAAAATAAAAATCTAGCAGACTATTAGAGTTGATTTCTAAGGAAGCAAGCTAGACTGCATACCGTCAGAACAACTATAGCAGTGGTTGCCGTGAATATTGTTTGACCATGCCCTTCTGGGAGATCGTGAACTGATTGCAAAGCAAGGGCAAAAGCCATAGCCCCTCGGAGTCCTATTCAAACACATAATTCAAAAAATACAGCAACATTGCAAAAGAAGCTACTCAAAGAATCAACAATCTCTGATCTTCTTACCACTGTACCAGAGTGCTTTCTGATGTTTTACAGGTATTTGCCGATGTGCAGGTCGGACTAAATTCACCAGGTAAGCACAAGAAAAGACATTTACCGCCCTTCACAGAAAAATTGGACAACTGATTTAGAAATTCCATTGCAATAACCTCACAAATATATCATTTACATATTGGTAGTGCATGCAGCACAATATGGCAAACAGAAATGCAGAATTAGGAGAAAGCACACGATAGGAAAAATAATACCCCTAAGACAACAAATAATTCAACTTCACAGTCAGAGTTCATAAAATTAGCTAATAGGTAAACATACCTTGCAACTCCAATGAACAACTGAGGCAATCATAGAGCAAGTTAAGAAATGCCAATGGTAAATTTAACTTAAAAACAAAAAAAATATCACTTATGTTTAATCTGACTAATGACTAAAGGATACAATTGAGAAAAAGATGAATCCAACATGGGACCAGCTATGCTGTTCCATGGCAATATCAAATCCCATGTAAATAAATCTGTAGAAAAAAAAAAAAAATGTCAAGACAGGTGTGCCAGAAGCAGTGAATATCACTTCGATGTAAATAATTATATGCTCCCTTACACGAATGTTTCTGCTAATGATGATATCAGATGAAAAAATGCAGACACAAATCGCTGAGAGTTGTCTGACAAATTGGAGAACGTGTAGTGCTTCATAACCTAAAACAAAACATAACCAATGTCTCAATCAGGATGCCCCAACAAATGATTGGTAACTGCACCGAGAAACCATCTATATCCACTTACAATTCCAGTGAACAATATCGATACAATACCAGAGAGGCCAAGGCCCTCAGCTAGCATGTACCTGAAAAGAAAAGGTTGTACACATTACCACACATGCCGAGCATAAGGAGCAATTGAAATCAATTTCACATGACAAGACAAAAATGGCCTAGTAATGGCTTACGAGAAATATGGGAAAAGGACAAAAAGACAGCACTCCAAGTTTTGAAGACTGCACAGAGGATGTCACAAAAATACTCTGATTATCCAAAGATGAGATGCAAACTGCAAGATCATCAAAGAAAGTAAAAAAATATGTGCAGTACTTACTTGTCAATATCTAAGCCTGCATACTTAAAAAGGTTCTGGAGGTTAAGGCTTCACTAACATTCTAAGAGCAAAAGTATTTATTAATGTAGAAGAATTAGTATAAACTTAAAAACTAATCTGCCAAGGTAGCCCAATGGTTGAAGAGAGGATTGGGACCAACCGTAAACCCAAAGTCTTGAGTTTGACTACTATTGGCAAAGCTTTGTCGTACCCAATACTTGTGGTGGCTTACGGGTGGTTTTAGGTATCTGGAGCTTACCTGTATCTAGTTGTCGAATACTTGGGGCCTGTTATCAAAATAAAATAAATAAATAAATAACCAACTTAAAAGGATATCAAAGCAGAAGTAAATCCAACTCCAACACCTGTAAAGCCATAAGCAATTCCTCGTTAGTGATCTCAAGGAAAAAGCTTTAGACAAAATAGAAAAAGAAAGTGAGAAAGGAATGTACAAATGAGATGAGTATCAGCCAAACTGAATATTTAAGTGAAAGACGTAATTTTGTAAACAGATATTCCAATGTATCTGTTCTTGAGCAGGACTAGACAGACTGTGTTCACTATTAATTGAATCAAGTAGTATAATTATTGATTTTAAACATAAAAAGGTGGAACAGAAGAGCAACCTGAATGTTCATTATTACACACTCTCTCTCTCTCTCTCTAGACAGACTGTGAATGTATCTGTCCTTGAGCAGGACTAGACAGACTCTGTTCACTGTTTATTGAATCAAGTAGTATAATTATTGATTTTAAACATAAAAAGGTGGAACAGAAGAGCAACCTGAATGTTCATTATTACTCTCTCTCTCTCTCTCAACCTGGGTACTTGGGTATTAGAGAAAAATTGGTGCTCAAACAGGAAACAAACTTCTATAATCTCAAGGAGAAAGATAGACGGACCCCAATAAAATTGAGCAACATTAGAAGAGCTCTCCTCAAGACAATATCTCAATATCAATTAATCAATTTTCAAATCATAACACCGTCTAGTCTCCTAAAACTAGTACATAAAAAAGGGGGATCCTGAAGCTGGTTATGGGGAAACAAATACAGTCAGTGGTAATTTTTCAAAAATTATAATTGAAATGTAAACATCATAACTTACATGAGAATCATTCAATGAATTACCAAAATGCCCTCAACTTTTTCCTCCCTATTTCTTACCTTTGCCACTTTGGTCCCTAACAACCCCCCAACCCATCCCTGACCACCCTCCACCACTGTGAATCCCTCCCCCACCCTTCTCCGCCACTCCAAATGCCCCAACCCCTTCCCACCACACCCAACACCCTAATTGAACTAAACCCTAGCCACAGGAAACCCCCCAAACCCCTCTATGTCTCAGCCCCATGCTCCCTTCCTTAGTTGCTATAAAAATCAGTAGGGTGCAACTCCAAACTATGTAGGGTGCAAGTAAAAATTGTGCAACAAGAATTGGTGAGGTGGTAGAGACAGAAACGCTCAACTGTGGCACAATTAGTTCAAATTCTTTTAGAATCGAATGGTTTGGAATATTCCATGAAGCTTCTTTGGGGCAACTTATCAATAAAGGCGTTTGATGATTTAGTTATGCCTTTTGGAGTTACCAATGCCCTTGCCACGTTCTGCAGAGTGGGTGGGGAAGGGGTGGGGGTGAAGGAGTGCCAGGATGGGCGGTTAAAGTGGTGAAGGAGGGTGGAGAAAGTGGCAGAGGTGGGTTGTGATTGTTCTACAAAATGCAGTTTGGACATGCACCTTGCACATATGGAACTTGCACCCTACACACATTGGACTTGCACCCTACTGGTTCTATCAGCAACAAAAGGAGAGGGCATAGGGTTTGGGTCGTTTAGGGGAATGGGGTGGTGACAAATTGGAGAACGTGTAGTGCTTCATAACCTAAAGGTGGGGGAGGGGCGGGGATAGATTGGGAAGGGATTTAGAGTGCCGGAGATACGTGGGGGAGGGAGTTGAAGTGGCCGGAGTTGTAAAGGTAAGAGAAGGAAAGAAGGGGAAGAAAAAGAAGGGGGCATTTTGGCAATTCCATGGATGATTCCTTCTGATTTGTAATTAGTTTTAGTCTTTCCATTTGAGTTGTAGTTTTCAAAAACTAACTCATCAGTAATTAAAAGCCCAGAGGCCACTGTTTAGTAATTTTCCTAATTAAAAACCTTGCTCAATGATGTGCTACTGCCTTGTCCTAGGTAATATTACCTCCACACTAGGTGATCCTCGTTGCTCCGAAAACCATAATTTTGCACATGTTAACTAGAACAATCAGTTTTACATGGTTTTCACAAGGAACATGTAGCACCAAGAAGAAAAGAAGCAAAAGATGGAAGAAACAGAAAGCACAGTCCCAAAACAATATCTCTATCTCAATCTCAATTAATCAATTCTCAAATCATATCATAGTCTAGCTACTAAAACTATTACATAAAGACCTACTCATAGGCATCCTAGAAAACACTAATAAAAAGTTCATTAGAAATCGAAGACTACGATAATTCAATACTAATAAAATAATAAAGCCTAATATAAAACATTGCCAAGACTCATGTTCCCCATCAACACACTTTGCAGCCTACGACGTGTTTGACATGGTTTACATAAGACACTCAAGAAACCTACGATAAAAGAATCACAACCTAGTTTAAGATAAGGGTTCTATCACGTCATATCCACTTAAAAGCTTAAGCCTATAAATGGAGAGCCCATCCAATGTTATTAAGAGCCACTATGTTTATTTTTTATCCAATGTAGGACTCTATCTTTATACATGCTCCAACAAACTCCCCTTCATGTTTGAACCAAAACTATAGCTATTCAGCGTATTCTTTCATTTAAGAAGAAATCAGTGACAAAGGCCTCGAGCCCAAAGCAGAGAGCTTTGTATGAAAAGGTTTTAACCAATTCGAAGATTGAAAACTATGTACCACACAAGGGGGGAAATGTTCTAGGGCTACAAGAAACGGAGGTGATCATGGTTGAGGAGGAAAATGGTGGTGATCCCAGGAGAAAGAAATTTTCAGAAGTCTATACCAGGAGAAGCAAAGGTTGTAAGTTATAACACTCCACAATTGAGAGATAAATTGCTACAAGGAATGACTGGTGACGAAAATGTTTCTAAAATTGCAAGTCACTAGACAAAGAAAATTGGAGGTTGAATGAGGTTGTAAGTGAACTAGATCTTACAACAGTTTGAGATGAAGCCCCCAACAGAACTGGTTCAAGTCAAAGCATGAATGATGCACGTGTATGGGTATAGGTACGGGCACAATAAATTTTCAGAAGTCTATACCAGGAGAAGCAAAGGTTGTAAGTTATAACACTCCACAATTGAGAGATAAATTGTTACAAGGAATGACTGGTGACGTAAACGTTTCTAAAATTGCAAGTCACTAGACAAAGAAAATTGGAGGTTGAATGAGGTTGTAAGTGAATTAGATCTTACAACAGTTTGAGATGAAGCCCCCAACAGAACTGGTTCAAGTCAAAGCATGAATGATGCACGTGTATGGGTATAGGTACGGGCACAATACAGGTACATCGATATAGTAAATTCTAAAAAAAGTATGGTATGAGTACAGCTGTGTACATTTGTAAAAAAATATTTACTTTTAATTTGGAGTAGCGCAAAAATTAGTTAAGTGACTTTGTTTGTTATGATACAACCTACAATTCACATTTAATGCCAAAAAGTAAAGGTATAAACCAAATTAAATGTCATTATATTAAATAACTTACAAACCACAGCTTAATTTTAAAATCATATTAAAATAAATAAAGTCCAATGAAACTAATTTTACTTCTGCATTGAAAGATAATATTATTTCAACTAAGTATGCAATGGCAGCTCTGGAAGATTATGGGGGCTGACAATTCTTCTAATGGGTTTTCCAACACAGAAGAAAAAGAAGTTGGAGAGGATTCTGTCTCTGAAGATTATGATTACATGATACAGGAAACTGTTCAAGGAAACTGAAGGGGGAACATCACAGAATTTCCAGGGAAAAGTAGTCATTATTTTGCACCATGAAGAGGTGCAAGTACAGTCGAACTTTTGATTCTGAATTAAGAAAAAAGGAATGTGAGTTAAATGAGCAAGTCAAATCAAGTATTTTTCCTTTTAAGAGGCAAGTTTTGCATATCATTTCTAACCAAAAAGAGCGCCTTTTGAGATAAATGTTTAAAATGAGGCAGGGGATAGCTCTAGCAATCCTACTGATCAAAATAACTGTAGGGGTCCTAATGTGAGTCGTAAACTCATTGGTTTTAGATCTCAAGTAGCGAATTCTAACCCAAAATACTAAGAGCACAGCACCATTTAATGGAAATCTTTCTTATCACTTGAAAGTAGGGAATTAGATTTTGGGGGGTAGCCCTACCAATGAAAATGAACACTGGTTGAGGGAATTCAAGGGGGATTTTTCATTTTTTATTGATGAGGGTAGTTTGGTTCAGTTAGATCAATTTTTGGAAAACGTGGTTATGTCTCTAGTAGGGGTGTTAACAAGGCAAAAAAAAAAAAAAAAATGGTCAAATCGTAAACCAATCTGAAGCAGTCCAAGCCATATGGTTTGGTCAGATTTTCTTAGAGGACAGATTGGATCAAGTACCAAAAAATTCAGAACTGCTGATCACAGGTCAGCTCACAGATTAAGGCTAAAAAGAATTGAATAAAACCAAACAAACCCATTCAATGTTTTTATTAGTTTTAAAAAGGTATTCTAGAAGGTACTCACTTTTCTTCTCATTGACTTCTTCTAACCTCAATCTCACTCCAACGTTGATGACACCTCCATTCATCCTATTCAGAAACTACTTTATGTAAAAAAATATGTGTAGTTTTTTTTTGTTTTTTTAATTTTATTTATGTAAGTTTTACACTTCTTATATTATGGAAAATTGCATTTTTATAGAAATTACTATATAATACGAGGAATTTGTTGCCTTCACATACGTTACAAAAGTTAGTTTGGAGAATATTTTCAAAATTTGAAGTATGCATGTTTAGATATAGTGAAGAATCAATTTTAACTGAACTAGATAGTTTAGATATAGTGAAGAATTTTCTAGCCTATAATCATGGAACCGAACTGCAACCGAACCACTATTTGTGGTTTACTTCTGGTTCAGTTCCAAAGGTTTCATGGTTCAGTTTGGTTCCTAAATTTCTAGAACTGTAGGAAATGGTCTGGCTCTTGGTCTACATTAGAGCCAAACCAAACCGGTCCATGAATACCCCTAGTTTCTAGTCATTCGAAAGAAAATAAGGGATAAATTGTAATATAAAAAATACACGTGAAAGATGCAAAAGGGAGGGGAGCATAGCAGGAGGATTACAGAATTGAGAAATTTGACATTTCGAATAAACTATGATGGTCTATCAAAAGAGACCAAGATTAGTGATTGTTCCAAATGAAGATTTTAAATAAATACCTTAGAAAACTTAGGGCTGGGACGAAAAGAGGCAATTAAAGTGGCGGTGATTAGGAATAGTCCATATATTGTAACACTTAAAGCAACACAAAATTTAAAAGTTCGATAGGATATTGATTAAGAGTACATGGGGAACTAGACATGGATGTTGGGTTCAGTTACCTTCAGGAGGTACATTGGGGGTATTTTAGTTATTTTGGATGATATAGTGGTTACTGAGAGAGAGTCAGACTTGGGGTACTTTACAATGTCCAGTAGATTTAGAAACCTTTGTAGTGGTGAGTGGTGGCCAACGGGAGTCTACTGTCATAATATCCCAATGTTAAGGAAAGATTTGCGGGAGGAGTTATCAGGTTTGCCTGGTTTGAGTCAATGTTGGAAAAAACTCGATTGTCAAAAAATGCTAAAAGCATGAAATAAGTCAATGTTTTTATTAGAGAATGTCATTTGATTGAACCTCCCTAGTCAAATGCTAGATTCACTTCATTAAACTTTCAGTGAAAATTGGTATGTAATAGATTATTGAAAAGGCTCCTACATTCTTTGGAGAGGGAAGAAAGATTTCTGAATGTAAAGCAAGAGGCACTTCCAGAAGTACTGTATTTGATCATTGCCCAGTGGTCTTAGAGAGTTGTCCTTTCAAGTAGGCCTCCCTCTTTAGGTTTGAAAACATGTAGTTAGAGTATCATTCCTTTATGAAATGTTTTGAGAAATTGTGAGAGTAAGCTTCAAGGTTGGGAAGGATTTAAATTCATGAAAAAAAAAATTACTATATTGTCGATCAAAAATTTAATAAAACAAAATGAATGTGTCTCCGTATCATGTGCAAAAAGGCAAATCGAAACCTAATATCTTCTGTCATCCATACAGAACAGAACTCAGAATATGATGTTTTCTCGTCATCTATAACGAAGAAATAAAATTGGGCTATTTTCTTGTCATCCAGTAGTAAAGAAAGTGTAATGATTAACCTGCTGACATTGAGCCAACAAAAGTCTCAAGAAATCTGACAATGACAACAAATAAATTCTGCCCAGATGACGCATGGCTTTTCACCAATGACATTGTCCTACAAAACAATTAAACCCTTGAATTAGAACTAGTAGAACTCCAAACATGCTGTTTAACTTGTATGGCCAAGTTTACGTACCTGTACAAGGAAATTGCCATCTTCCAGTTGTGCAACATACAAAAAAGTTAACATTCCCCGTAAACACTAAACATCTTTAGGAAAAAAATAACTTCAAATGGAGAGTAGAAATCTTAACCAAAGGAACAAAAACTTACTGCATCATTTAAAACAGATTCCCCAAAGACCAAGGCATAAAGGTTCATGTCTGTACCAAGTTCCTACAGTATGTCATGTCCAGTGAATGTCGCTTAAGATTGGAGGAAGATGAATTAACTACAAAGATGCCAAAAAGTAGATATATCGTCTCCAGCAATGCACAACATGCAATTAAGTTTTTCAAGTAAAGAAAATTTCATATTAACATGTAAAAAAATAGAGAATTGTATTATTTATTGATTGATCTTGATGTTATATTTGTTACAATGATTCATGATTCCTATATATAGAAGAGGGTGAGTGTGTAGTAGGTAAGGAGTAGGTGAAGTGGAGGTGGTAGTGGTGTAGTGGGTTAGGTTTAGTGGAGTAGGTGAGGTGGTAGTGGTGTAGTGGGTTAGGTTTAGTGGAGTAGGTTTAAGTGGGTGAAGTAGGTGATAGGTTTTAACAATAGTTCATGTAAGTTAGCAGATGAGAGAAAATAAACTATTCATGTGAACATGAATATACAAGCGACCAAGTCGAGGAGCAACTGTTAGATTGAGAACCTATACCCAAAGAAGCAAAACCGTGAATATTTTACAATTTTGGACAACTATTAAAAGATTTTCAACTTAATATGACCCAAACATCACTATTATATTAAATTTTTGGGTAAATTACAAATACACCCTCTGAGGTTTACATAAAATACGGATTGGCCCTGTATCCTGCCTCTTCAAGTTTCCAATTGCATAACAAATTATCCCTTTTATTAATAAATCACCAATTCAATTAATAGTTTTTAATGATGTCAGAAATATATTTTAATTAATAATTCAGATAATTTTATTCTTAACAGAGTAGTTAAAAATTTGATTTTTTTTCTTTTTGTTAATTGTGTAAAATAAAATTTATGACAAGGGAGTATTTGTAATTTCCAGAACCACAGGGGTAATCCGTATTTTAAGCAAATCTCAGGAAGTGCATTTGTAATTTATCCTAAATTTTATAAACAAGAAAATCACTAGGAATCCAAGAGTAAAAACCAAGTGAATACATGAGAAAAAGGCTTCAAAGATAGTTCAAGAAAAGAAGCTAGAGCTTGAGATAGATAGGAAATCATCAAACAAAAGAATAATGGAGGTACAATGCCCCTAATAATGGCGTGCAATATCCAACTGTTTTTAGCATTCGTTTCATTGTGTATGAACGACCCTTGCAAGTGCACTGAGAGGAAGAAAATTCTTTCCTAATCCAGTGTCAAGACTTGATTGACCAGGGGACCAATCCAACTTGTACTTGAATGTTGTCACACAAAATGCAAAACAAATTCAAGACTCTGGTTCTCCAAGGAGTCCAATGAAATGGAAGACCAGCCATGCAGATGCAAAGGCCAAGTGAAACCATTACCAGTTAGCTAGACCGAAACCATAATCGAGCATTAAGTTTCAAGCATGAAATTTGACCTTTTTTAGATACACAATGGGAATTGAATCCTAACATCCTTAACACAATAACCCCCGACAACACAAGCTTGCGTCCAGTCTTAATATTTCCCTTTTTTTTTTTTTTTTTGATACTTGTGCACCTACCGCGTGTCATGAACACGTATCCAGCGAAGTGTGATTTACATGTCATTACATAGACCTCCATGTGTCAGCCAACTAGGGTACACGTGTGGTCACACCAAACAAGCTCAATTGGAGTCTAGGTCAAACCTTGTATCTTCAAACTTAGACAAAGAGGTCGGATTGAGGCATGCTGAAAGACTCGACACGCACCACAGGAATATGGGGTCCTGTGGCTAGAAATGAAGCCTCACCCCTCGTGGGTCAAGCTGCCTTGGGCCAATCCGAGTGAGAGATACCTTGCCATACTCTCATAGAAGTTTCAAGAAGCTTAGTTCCCTAGCCTCCAAGCCAAGTTTTCTCGATAAATGGCAGCACATGAGAGCTATAATAACCTATTGGTGTCCTAACAACATTGCGATACCTTAATTGCAAAATTCTAGGACATGTAGTTACATGCATTGATCACCTTACATAGGTAGAAGGCTATATTTCCCTTCCATCACTTACAACACCAGCACTCTTGCTCCGAGTTTTGAATCTCTATGTTCTAAGAAATTTGAACTCTAGATTCTCCATTGCCCCCTTCTTTCTCTCTTTGGATGGCTAGCCTGCTTCATCTCTACCCAGACACGCTTTTATGCCTTTGATGTGTGTTAGAATTTCCCATCTTTACCTTCACCTACTCCACTACACACTCCCTGCTTCATCTCTACCCAGACACGCTTTTATGCCTTTGATGTGCTTTGCTACCTCTCCGACAAACCTCCATCACTCTCACCTACAAAAGGCTTTAGTGATTTTAAGTACAGAGTGAGGGCTCGTGAATGTTGAAAACTGTCTATACGTATTTACATTTGACTAAATATATTACAATTGTAAAATCCAAACTCTAAATACAAAAAGAGGCCATTATGCACCCATGTTCGTCACACTAGTGAGGAGTGTTATGAGAGGTAGACCAAATGCTATGAAGCACCGACACTTCAAAACATGTATGATGGAGGCAAGTGGCAGCAGTCTCTTAAGGTGTACAAGAGACGAGGAATAGATGCCTCTAAGACCCAAGCTTTGATTTGGCATCCATTGGATGATGAGAAACTCATTTGGGACCGTGGGTAGTTATGTTTTAGGCTTATGAGTCATGTTCTATTATTATTATTTTAGTTTAGGGTATTTTGGTAATTTCATAATTTCTAGACATGGGATATACGGAACGCTCATGGGTCGTCTTATGGGTCAAGTTGTTTAATTAAGTTTTATTTATGTTTCTTATTTAGTATTAAATTAGTTTTGAAAGTCTAAAATATTATAATAGTTTCCTTTTTTGGTTCTAGTTGGTTTAGAAAGTCTCTTAATTCTATATAAAGCCATGTAATGCTATTAATTCAATGCACTTGATATTTTAGAGCTTTTAAAGCTTCTTTATGGATTGTGCAATGCAATTAAACCCTAGGTGTGATGCCTAAGGAATTCTAGGAGTGATTCCTAGACTTAACTTCTTCTCCTTCTTTCCCTCTTTTCTTTTCTGCACTTTAACAGCCCAAACACTGTTCACAGGTACTTTCACTGCCCCAGAACAGCTCTTACAGCGCTGTCTTGCATCAATTTTGGTATCAAAGCGAGGATTCAAACATGTCTACACGATCGGGGAAACCTTTTAGAGGAAGACTGACTGAAAATCAACGTGATGAGATCCTTATAAAAATTTCTAAGCAACTTGATCATTGTAATCTTTGTATTAGTGCTTTGGAAGGCCAAACAACTCAAGCTAATGGCACTACAACAACCAGAGAACAAGGAGAAAAATCTAAAATTAATAATCATGGTGAGAATGGTGAGAATCAAGGTGAACACTTGTTGGAAAAAGGTCACTATGAGCCACATGACACAACTGGAGATATCACAAAAAAGGTTAAGATGGAGGTTCCAAATTTTGAAGGCGAGGTTGATCCTGCAGTGTTCTCAGATTGGCTTGCTTCCATTGAGTATTTTGAATGGTATGATATGACGGATGAACGAAGAGTGAGATTTGCCAAGATGAAACTTGTGGGATTGGCAAAAGTATGGTGGATTGGTGTTGAAGGAGATATCAGAAGAATGGGGAAACCACCAATAGGCACATTGCAAGAGATGAAAGCCAAGTTTCGAGAGAAATGCATGCCGTCGAATTATCACGAAAAGTTGTGTGACCAACTTGTTACTCTAAAACAAGGCAGCATGTTAGTAGCAGCATATATGTAGAGATTTGATGAACTTTAGACTAGAAGTCAAATTGTGGAAGATCCACGTCACACCCTTGCTCGATTTAAGTCTGGTTTGAGGACTGATATACAACGAGAATTGCTTTGTCAACCTTTATATAGTATGGAGCATGCATTCCAAGTGACACTTGATATAGAAGAATACTTGAGTTACTCAATTACTAAGAAATTTGGGTCTCAAGCAGAGGAGATAACATTTAGAAGGTTCACTGATGCAAATAAAAGCACAAAAACAGCACCTTCAGAGCCACTAAATCGACCAAAAATATCAAAACCCTCATCTTCAGGTGTTGTTGATCATAGAAATAAAGGTATTGTGACTGTGAAGCCAAGTGGGAGGCATAAAAGCACTAAATGTCCAAAGAAGAATGCCCTCCATATTGTAATCGAAGAGGACACAGAGCAACAGCCAGAATATGGCCAATCACAGGAATACGTCAATGATGAGGATGCATTCAATTATGGAGAGGGCAGCTTCGATGATTTAGGGGAAGATGAGTTGGAAACCTCCTTTCTTAATGTTGTTAGGCATATTCTAGCAGCCCCTAAGGTGGAGCAAGAAGATTGGCAACGAACATCAATCTTTCAAATGTTGGTCCGTTGTGGAAATCAACCAAAAAGACTTGTTATTGATATTGGAGGCTGCATGAATGTTGTCTCTGCATCTACAGTTGAAAGACTTAAGCTTCCAATTGAGCCACATCCTCATGCTTACAGGGTAGCTTGGATTGACAACACGTCTATTCCGGTAACTCAAAGATGCTTTGTTTCTTTTGTTTCGCCTAATTATAGTGATTCTAGTTTATGTGATGTAATTCCTATGAATGTCACTCACATCCTTCTTGCTCGACCATGGCTTACGATCACGTTGTACAACACAATGGACGAGAAAATAAATACACTTTCTCACTTGGAAAGAAGATAATTGTCCTACATCCTATGACTATGGCAGAGATGAGAAGATATGAAACTCCAAAACCAAAGCGTATTGCTGAAAGTCAGAATAAACCTCTCCACGTACTCTCTAAAAGGCAATTTGTAGTAGAAAGCAAAGAATCAAAGCTTATCTATGCTGTAGTGGTTAAAGAAGTGAAGCAACTAGTAACTAGTCCTGAGACAAAAAGGCCTTTAGAGGTTGAAAAGTTGTTGTATGAATTTTCTGATATAGCACTGGAAAAGCTTCCTTCCATGCGTAATGTCCAACATTGAATAGATCTTATCCCCGGGTCTCAATTGCCTAATTTTCTAGCTTATCAGATGAATCCTAGTGAACATACTGAGCTAAAAAGGCAAGTAGATGAGCTGTTGTCCAAAGGATTTATTTGCGAAAGTTTGAGTCCTTGTGCTGTTCGTGCCTTGCTCACACCAAAGAAAGATGGCACGGAGCGCATGTGTGTCGATAGTTGAGCTATCAACAAAATAACCATCAAATATCGGTTTCCAATTCCTCGACTTGATGATATGTTGGACATGAGAGCTGGTTCTACTATTTTTTCAAAGATAGACTTGAAGAGTGGTTACCATCAAATACGAATAAGGGCTGGAGATGAGTGGAAGACTGCCTTCAAGACAAAGGATGGTCTCTATGAGTGGGCAATTATGCCATTTGGTCTTTCCAATGCTCCTAGCACATTCATGCATTTCATAACGCAGGTACTTTAACCTTTTATTGGTCGCTTCCTTGTGGTCTATTTTGATGATATACTAATCTATAGCAAGACCAAAGAGGAACACATCTTCCATCTCCAACAGGTTATGAGAGTTCAGTTCTTCGCCAAGAGAAACTCTATGTAAATTTGAAGAAGTGCTCCTTTATGAGTCCAAGCATTGTGTTTTTGGGCTTTGTTATCTCTTCCAAGGGTGTAGCGGCTGATCCGAACAAAGTCAAAGCTATTATAGAGTGGCCGATTCCTACCACCATGAAAGAAGTTCGTAGTTTCCATGGATTGGCAACATTCTATAGGCGCTTTATTCAAAATTTCAGCACAATAATGGCACTAGTTTCCAATTGCATGAAGAAGGGAGAGTTTATTTGGACTGGGGCAGCAACTAAAGCATTCGAAGAGATAAAGAAAAAATGACTGAAGCTTCTGTTTTATGCCTTCCGGACTTCTCTAAGGTGTTTGAAGTGACTTGTGACGCTTCAAATGTGGGATTGGGGGTATCCTCAATCAAGAAGGCCATCCAATCGCTTATTTTAGTGAGAAACTTAATGAAGCACGACGAAAGTACTCTACTTATGACAAGGAATTTTATGTTGTGATTCAAGCACTCCATTACTGGCGTTACTATCTCATATCCAAGGAGTTTGTGTTGTATTTTGACCATGAAGCTCTCAAGTACATCAACTCCCAAAAAAATTGAATCATCGACATGGAAAGTGGGTCTCCTTGCAAGAACACACATTCGTCATCAAACATAAAGCTGGGACAGAAAATAAGGCGGCTGATGCAGTTAGTCGTGTGATGCTAACTCTCTACTCTATGTCCATTCAAGTTGTGGGCTTTGATTCGCTCAAGAAAGACTACTTGTCTTGCAAAGATTTCAGCATAATCTACACCGATTTAGTGGCTAAACAGCATGCTGAATATCCAGAATTCTTTTTACATGATGGGTATCTTTTTAAGGGAACTCGTCTTTGTTTGCCTAGCACATCTCTATGCGAAGAGGTGATTCGAGAATTGCATTCTGGAGGGGCAGCAGATCATTTTGGCAGAGACAAGACAATTGCAATGGTTGAAGACCCTCATTATTGGCCAAGTCTTAAGCGGGATGTTGCTAAAGCTGTTTCTCAATGACGTACCTGTCAACTTTCTAAAGGACGATAGAAAAATACTGGTTTATACACTCCATTACTAGTACCACATGAGCCATGGCAAGACCTAATCATGGAATTCATCCCAGGGCTACCACGAACCCTTAGGGGATATGATTCCATTTTTGTGGTAGTGGACCACTACTCAAAAATGGCTCACTTTGTCCCTTGTTCGAAGACTTCTGATGTTGTCCATATTGCTAAAATATTCTTCAAAGAAGTTGTCCGACTTTATGGTTTGCCAAAAGCAATTGTCTAAGACCGCGATGTGAAGTTTATGAGTTATTTTTGGCATACTTTTTGGAAGATGCTGCATACAAAACTGAAATTTTCTTCTTCTTTCCATCCCCAAATTGATGGTCAAACAAAGGTTGTTAATCGAAGTTTAGGTGACCTTCTTCATTGCCTTGTAGGTGATCATGTTGGTAGTTGGGATCAAATTCTTTCTATGGCTGAATTCGCTTATAACAGTTCAATTAATCGGACCACTGGTCGCAGCCCCTTTGAGACTGTGACAGGTTTACTTCCTCGTAAACCAATTGATTTGGTTCCTTTACCTGTTGAGGCACGTCCTAGTGTTGAAGTAGATGCTTTTGCTAAGCATATTCATGCAATACATGATGAGGTTCGAAGCAAGATTGTACTCAACAATGAGAGTTATAAAACATATGCTGATTTGAGAAGAAAGTATGTAGAATTTGAAGAAGGGGGCATGGTTATGGTCCACATTAGATCTAAGCGATATCCTAAGGGTGCATACAAGAAACTCCATTCAAGAAGTTTTGGTCCATACAAAGTTCTCAAGAAAATTAGTTCTAATGCCTATGTACTTGATTTGCCGAACAATGTAGGCATAAGTCATGTCTTCAACATTGAGGATCTTACATTATACCGAGGTCACAATGATGATGATCCTAATGATGGTGTTGGGACTCGACTTCCACCAACCCCACATTTGAAGGAAGACATTGAAGATATTATTGTTTATCAACTTGTTTCCACTAAAGGTGGTGGCTATCTGTTAAAATGTACCAAAACCTACCACTACACCTACTCCACCCACTTCACCTACTCCACCTACTACTCCACCTACTACATACCTACCTCCTTTAATCTTCTATATATAGGACTCATTGTAAACAACAACATACAATAATCAATAATACATCTATTTTTACATGGTATCAGAGCAGGTTTAGAACCTAGTATTTTCGCTTCACCGGCGGGCGGCAACCTCACCTTAGCCGTCCGCCGGACTTCAACCTATTCCGCTTATTTTCTACACATACCTGCCATCACGCAAACTGAAGAGCTTAGTCAACTTCCTCAATTTTGGGACCAGCACCACTACCACCAGCAGGAGGAGCATCATCATCATCCATAGCAGCACCACCGGCACCCTGGTACATCTTGGCAATGATGGGGTTGCAGATGCCTTCCAGCTCCTTCATCTTGTCCTCAAACTCGTCCGACTCAGCAAGCTGGTTCGCATCCAACCACTGAATTGCCTGCTCAATGGCAGCTTCAATCTTCTTCTGGTCATCTGGGCCAAGATTGGAGCTGATCTTCTCATCCTTAATGGTGTTCCTCATGTTGTAGGCATAGTTTTCCAATGCATTCTTGGCCTCAACTTTCTTCTTGTGGTCCTCATCCTCAGCCTTGCACTTTTCGGCCTCTTGTACCATCTTCTCGATCTCTTCCTTTGACAACCTTCCCTTGTCATTGGTAATGGTGATCTTGTTCTTCTGACTAGTGGTCTTGTCCTCAGCAGAGACATTCAAGATACCATTAGCATCAATGTCAAAGCATACAGTGATCTGAGGAACACCCCTGGGGGCAGGAGGAATGCCAGACAGCTCAAATTTGCCCAACAGATTGTTGTCTCGAGTTCTCGTTCTCTCACCCTCATATACTTGAATCAACACACCTGGTTGGTTATCCGAGTATGTAGAGATCTCTCCAAACTCAAGTTGGTTAGTTCCTATCCCCCTTGAGTTTGCGGGGGGCTGTTAAAATGTACCAAAACCTACCACTACACCTACTCCACCCACTTCACCTACTCCACCTACTACTCCACCTACTACATACCTACCTCCTTTAATCTTCTATATATAGGACTCATTGTAAACAACAACATACAACAATCAATAATACATCTATTTTTACACTATCAAAAGTACCTCATCAAATGGAAGGGGCGTCCACTGTCAGATTGTACATGGACCAATGATAAGGAGTTCCAACGCCTAGACCATGACTTGTATGAACGATTCCATACTTTTAACTTGCCAGAGTCGAGTTTTTTCCAGCCGGGGAGAGATGAAGGAGGCAAGTGGCAGCAGCCTTTTAAGGTGTACAAGACAAGGAAGAGATGCCTCCAAGGCCCAAGCTTTGATTTGGCATGCATTGGATGATGAGCAACTCATTTGGGACTGTGGATAGTTATGTTTTAGACTTATGAGTCATGTTCTATTATTATTATTTTAGTTTAGGGCATTTTGGTAATTTCATAAGACATGGGTTATACGGGTCGTCCATGGGTCGTCTTGTGGATCAAGCTATTTAATTAGGTTTTATTTATGTTTCTTATTTGGTTTTAAATTAGTTTGGAAGTCTAAAATATTATAGTAGTTTCCTTTTTTGGTTCTAGTTGGTTTAAGAAGTCTCTTAATTCTATATAAAGTTATGTAATGCTATTAATTCAATTGACTTGATATTTTAGAGACTTTTAAAGCTTCTTTATGGATTGTGTGTTGCAATCAAACCCTAGGTGTGATGCCTAAGGAATTCTAAGAGTGATTCCTAGACTTAACTTCTTCTCCTTCTTTCCCTATTTTATTTTCTGCACTTTAACAGCCTAAACACTGTTCACGGGTACTTTCACTGCCCCAGAACAGCTCTTACAGCACTGTCCTGCATCAATGTATCATAGCGGTGTCACACACTAGGACACGGGGACACAGTAGGACACAGTAGAAACGTCGGGGACAATCTAGGAACACAACAACTAGTTTTTCCCCTCTTCTTTATTTCTTTTGTCACACATTTGGGCCCTCCAAACTACACTTTGTAGACCAGAACTCAAGATTATTTGATGGTTTTGTTTTCATGTGTTTTCAGGAAGCTCAAGTCCTTGTGCTAAAATGACATAATTTGGAAACTTAAATAGATGCTTGGACGGCTTTTATTTGATCCCAGGAGCCAAGATTTGAAGACAAGCAAAGAAGAAGGAAGTGTTTTAGCCCATGATGTCCATAGAAGAAAAAGGTTGAATTTTATACAATCCCGCAATAGAATTCACTCGGAGCAGCCTTAGTACTTTGGACATATCTCTTTCATTTGACATCAGAATTAGGTGATTGAAGCGGTGTTGGAAATCTTACTTAAAAGGCTACAATTTTGGTGAGATTAGATTTTTCTAATTTAAACGTTTACTAGGTCAAAATTGGCCTAGAGTCAGAGAAGAAGTTGATTTTCAAAAATTTTGGGATTTTTGCATGTGCATACGTGCACCCAGGCGCATAGTAGTGAAGCTATTATCTGAGTGCACATTGTGCTAGAAAGTCCAAAAAATTGAGTTTTTATGCTAGTTTTGAGCCGATTTCAACCCTAATCAGTATGAAACTATAAAAGGACGACTTAGCTTTCAGAAGAAAAAAAAAAGGTTATTTACATATTGAAGGACAGCACAAAAGGCAAGAGAAAGGCAACCCAAGGTTTGTAGGACGAAGTTATACACGTCCATGGCATGATAAGTGGTAAGCGAAAACATATTCTGATGATTAATATCAAGCACCAGCTCACCTGAAATATGGACAAAACAGTGACAGGATCCGTAGCTGATATAAGAGCACCAAACATGAGGCATTCATCAAATGGCAGTCTGTACATGAGATACATCAAACCACCAAGGTAACTGCAATAGGAGACATTAGAAGAGAATAATTTTATCTGGGCCAGGGCCAAGGCCAAACTCTAATGCTGTGTTTGGTTGGGAGATTTGATGAGGGATTTGGAAAGGAAAATAGAAAAAGTAGGTAAAATGTGAATAAAATATACCTACATTTCTTCTAATTTCACACATCTTTACCATTTCCTTTTCCCTTTACCTTTACCTTTCCAAATTTCTCTCAAAATCCCCTAACCAAACACAGCATAAGACTACAATCAAGAGAACAAAAATAGTGAATAAAGAGATACTCACACCAAAACACCTGTAACAATAGAAGCTATAAAAGTGCCTGGAATAGCAAATGTGATGATGGCTCCAAAGTTTGAGAAGAATGGTTTCTGCAATGCATCATATGAATTACGATGCAATACTAGTAGGAATGCATGCATCAAATTAAAAAATCAAAGAAATGAAATCATGAAATCTTACAGGCGATAAACTGAAACCCGACTGAGTGAGCACAAAAACGTCAAGGGAAACAATTCAAAAGCAGCTAATTTAGCAATAAAGTGGTAACAATGAATTAGTGTAGAGACTATAGAATGGTTACTCAAGGAAAGAACCAGTTACGAAAATTGTAAGGATATAATATGATCGGAGGCAACAAAAAGAGGAAGAAAAACTCCTCGTGGAAGTTAAACCACCCCCTGCAAAATAAATAAAAGAAGAAACAAAGAGTATGTTTACAATTTGAGAATATATAATTTTTGCAAGATAAACAAATCAGAAGAGTAGCAGCAGCTCTATCCTCCCAGAAACACGAGACATTTCTAATTTCTAATGTAAAATGACCTGATGCTAGTTTCCGTGTTTGAGATGTTGGCAAGCCCACCGACGATTAGACCTGCCAGAAATAATATGAAGCGGAGGTCAGTTTATGATTTAAAGGTATTTACAATCAGAACACAGAGGGAGGGAACGTAAGAACGTCAACAAGTGAATGATGAATCAACCAGAGCACAAAGCAAAAGGGAGTTTTGAATTGAACTATCAAATTATTAACCTAATATGTATATATATATATATATAAAAATTTCTATGAAAAAAGAAAAAAGAATGCCCCACCCACCAATCAAAAGCGAAGCGCTGGCTTCGGGAAGATAATAGAATCTGTGACGGCGTAGGACATGGCCAAGGACAAAGGAGAGAACGAGCATCATGATCTGAAGAAGGATGCCCACTCCAGCCGCTTGTTGATCTTTTCCTGGACTCCCCCGCGGGTCCGCCGGAGATATCTGCAGCTCATCCATCATATTGATTGATGCCGCTCCCTACTACTCTCAATTTCCGACGACGACGACTACCAACGGCCAATGCTTCTTCTACCCCTCCAAACTCCGACTATAACCTCCACCCGTCTAGTCCCACTCCTGCAATTTCCCTTTTACCCTTTTTCCAGGGCAGAACGTGGGAGTGATTTGATTTGGCTTGATATTTTACTACAAGATTGGGTTTACATGGTTGGATTTGTAAAGATCTTAAATAACACTTCGAATTTTATTTTGATTTTTATAATTTTAATTTAAATAATTTGATTCTTACATTTTCAATTTTGTTACGACATGATTTTTTCATCATTTATTGTTAATATTTTGAATTAAAAAAAAAATCACTTGAGTAACTAATTTAAAAATTATAAGTCTATTTTAAAAAGTGGGTTAAAAGTCACTTTTCAGATTTTAATCCACTTTTTTCTCATAAAAAAATAAAAAAAAAGTCAAAAAATAATTTTTAACCATCTTTTTAAAATACCCCTAATAGTGTAATTTATCCAAAATTAAAAAACATACTTTTTCCGTCATTTGTTGTTAATATTGTGAATATAAAAAATAAAAATAAATAAATAAATAAAAAAACCACTTGAGAAACTAGTTTAAAAATTATAGAGAGTAATTGTGTAATTTATCTGAAATTAAAAATTAATGCGCAACATGTTGGTTTGATTTTTTAAAAAGTTATCGTAAACCATTTTGCATTTATCTTAACTAAAAAAAAAATTTATATTTTAGTGAGGGGTTTTTTTGGAAACCTACTAGAATAACATATTTATTGTCTTTTTAGCTTATTTAGATTATATCACACTCTATTTTTCGATACACATTTTCATGAAAGGTCAAAAAATTATTAAAATAATTTATTCTCAAACAATTCCTTAATTCTTTCTAGTGATCTATATATGTCTTGCATCACACTCTTTTTTTTTTCTTTTTTTTTTTTTCAGAAATGAGACCCAAGTCAATAAATGTACATAGGGACACTTTGGGAAGAGGTTAAAAAAGTCAATTTTTTTATTTTTTTTACTTTTTTAGTCAAAAAAATCAGTTTTTTTATCCAAAAGAATCCAACTTTTTGTCAAAAAAATCATTAAAAATGTCAAAAAATCAAAAAATCAACTTCTTACCAACTTCTCAAAACACCACATAGGACCCATTCACTTTGGTTTAGAATGAAAAAATGAGAATTTAAAAATTATTATTCACCCAAAAAACTTAAAAATTATTTAAAATTTTTATCTTATGATTTAGATTTATTTTACACATAAATCTCATACTATAAAAATTTAATCCTTATTATACAATTACCCACCCCAAAAAAATTCTGAATGAATAGGGACATGTTGGCAACATTGATAAAAAGTTAATTTTTTAATTTTTTAATTTTTTTAGTCAAAAAAATCATTTTTTTTATCCAAAAGAATCCAACTTTTTGTCAAAAAAATCATTAAAAATGTCAAAAAAATCAAAAAATCAATTTCTTACCAACTTCTCAAAACACCACATACGACCCATTCACTTTGGTTTAGAATGAAAAAATGAGATAACAAATAAGATTACACGTAAATTTTCTATACTATTATTTTATATTTTTAGATATACTGTCTAATTTGAGAACATCACTTTTAAACCTAAAAGTTAAAAAGTCTTTAAGGCCTTGTTTGGGGTATCTTAAAAAAATCAAAAAGTCAAAAAGTCACTATCATATTTAAGTCACTATCATATTTAAGTCACATCATCTTATTTTAAGTTATATCACCTCTCTATCACATCACTTCAAACTCAACTCATACTCAACCCACATTTCATAAAAAGTCAAAAAATATACTTATTTAGATCATCCCAAACCACTCCTAAAAAAATTAAAAAGTTCACAAACTATACAAAAAAAGTCAAAATTTTTCTTTTCTTTCTATTTTTTGCACATATTTTCGTAAAAAATTAAAAAGTTATCTTAAACATATTGATTTTTTTATCTCATATTTTAAAGAACTTACTCAAATATATATTAAAAAAAATTACTAGTAAAAGTGAAAGAAAACTCTGGTTTTTCAATTTTCAAAAATATTTTTTTAATTTTCAATTCATATTTTAAAATTTTTATTGAATTTTTGAAATAATTTAATTAATATTTTGTATTTTTATAGCCATTTAATCTAAATATATTTTGTATTTTTATTTCCATTTAATCTAAATATATTTAAAAAGTATAAAATTTATGAAAAAAATCTTTAAAAAAATCACTAAATACTACAAAATACAAAAAAAAAATCAATATATTTTCATATTTTTTGTATTTATTGAATTTTTTATAGATTTTTTAACAAATATTTTACTTTTTGAGTACATCTAAATTAGATGCATCTAAAAAATAAAATACAAATTTACCGAAACTTTTAAAAAAATCACTAAAAATAAAAAATATTGATTGAAAACTCAAAATTTGTGTTTTTAAAACTCAAAACCAAATATAGATTTTTGATTGAGTTTTCTTATGTTTTTAGAATTTTTTAATATTTTGGTCATTTAAAAAAAAATTAGAAGCATAGATTTGTTGCATCTAAGAAGTTAAAAAATGTAAAAAAAATATATATTTTTAGTGAACATATGAAAACTCATTAAATATAAAAAAAATCTATGCCTCTTAGATGCAACAAATGAAAACTCCTCACTTTAAAAAACTCTTTACAAATGAAAACTCTTTACTTTAAAAAAAAAAAATTCACTAAAGACAAATGAAAACTCATTAAAAAATATTTAAAAAATCAAAGTAATCATATTTATTTTTAAAAATCCCAAATTAGAAGTGACCCTTTAATTGAAAATGGTACTGATAACCTGCTAGCAAAAAAAATTGCTTGATGAAAATGTTGGAGAAGATATTGTCATTTTTTCCTAGGATCTAGGAAGTACAGGTGCTTATACTAATATGGATACAGTTATGATATGAGTATGTGGATATGGTTAGGGTACAATTTATTTATTTATTTATAACTATATAACTAAACATTTAGCATACAAATTAAAATTTCAATATCAAAACTAAAAGGAAAACAACTTATCTAAAATGTTATATAATTTTTTTTTTCTTTCTTTTTAATTGTCTAAAATAAAATGCAAAAAAGAGTAAAACCATAACTAATGAGTAAATCAAGCCATACCCACACGTATCTGTTATATCTAGTATGTATTTCGCATACTCGATATTTGTATAGTACTATTTTTAAAATACTAATATTTCATAGCCTAAGATGGAGTTCCTTCTTGACATCAAATGATTAACCTTGTAAATATTTTGAAGATATTATAGCAAAAGTCCCTTTTGACTCTTCAATTTTGTAAATATTTCACGAAGAATCCGTTTTGAAGATTCAGCATCCAAGCGTCTCCATCAATAGTTGATACTCCAGCAGAAGAAGACAAAATTAGTAGAAGATAAAGCTTCTCTTCAATTATCGATAAAAGATTCTGTACATATTCATGTCTGTAATTATTTGAGTCTGTCGGTAATAAAGATTTTCCTTCACTCACTACTTTAATAGAGCAGATGACTCTCACCTTGCTCCATTAAAGAAAAGATGTGAAAATCTTTACACGTGTCTTATAATAAATTATAGTATTAGAATTTTGTCAAAAATGAGAGGATTAAATGATATGCGATGGGACCCAAAGCAGTACCCGGCATCATTGTCCAAACCCTCTATTTGTTTTTATATGTAGAAATATCGTCAAAAGAGGCATATAATTGTATACATATATAGCCTTGTCTTTACTTAATTTTCAAAGAAGCCTAAGTCTAGGCTAGCATAGGTTTTGACCCTTAGCAAAGTTTTAGACGTGAAATGTTGGGCATAACCTTTTGAGTTTTGTTTTTTCTTCTTTTAATGTTGTATAAATTGGCATGCTTACCAACGAAAGAGGCAGAATGAAAAATACCCCTTCACTCTGCGTTGTAAAAATTTTCAACCCCTCTCAAAAACCTCTAAGTGTACTAAGTCTTTCAGAATTTCAGAGTCTGTAATATAATCTTTGTAAGTATATTTCTTATTAATATGAAGTGTGAGTAGTCTCTCTTTTTCCTTAAATATTTCAAAAGGGTAACTCTTCTATTCTAAAAATTTATTTTCTTTTCGGAAAAAACTAAGTTTATGGAATGCTTGTTTGCTCATTAATATTACATGCTTTACACCTTCGTAATATCTGTTGTTTTCTAATTTATTACTGAGTGACCTTAGTTGAAGAGCCCGTGTGAGCCGTGGTTAGGCGATTGGAGGGCAAATTGTAGGCAGAAAGGGAAAGATAAGAATTAGGAAATAAAAATATATTATGTTGAATGAGGCTTAGCTTCAAGGTGGGAGTACATGTAATGAAAACAAACATTGCCTAAAAATAGTTTTTGCCAAAGAAAAAGAATTTTAGAATAAAAGGAGAGCAACCTGAGTATAAATATTAAGGAAATATTGTTCATAAAAAATTAAAAAATCAAAATTGTATGCCTTTAGATGAAGAACTTAGAATTAAAATCAGAACCGGTACTGAGCTTATACAAGAATTAGGAGTTCAAAAATTTAGATATCAATTTCTTTTGTCATTAGCATCTGGCAGATCCTTAGAAAATTACAGTTTAAAAATTTCTCAAATAAATAGACAAATAACTGTAAGACAAGAAGCCTTAAAACTAGTCATACAACAACTTGAAGACCTATTAGCATAACTGAAGAATTAGCTAGATAATTCTCAGCCCAATTTCACAATAGTGGTAGACCACTAACTCATCACCCCAAAAAATTTTGTATCAGAGCGGTGTTCGGTTTTAGGACAGTTTAAGTTAGTTTATGCATTTTGCTTATGGTAATAGAGTAGTTTTTATTTTTGGACATTTTAGTTATAAATTTCATATTATAGTAGCTTGTAATAATTTTAAAGTAGGATATAATTTTATGTATGAAAAGAGTAGAATATTTAGATTTAGAACTTAGCAATTATAATCATCGTCTTAACATAGATAAAAATAAATTTCGTTGTAATTTTAAAGATACTTTTACACATCAGCTTCATAGTGAACATAATTCTCAGTTAAATAGCATCATAAATTATCAGATTAATTTTGTAGAAAATATTAAAAAGGACATAGATAAAATTAGTAATCTTTTTATTTCCTCCATAGATCATCTCCGTAAT